GTTATAGTAGTAGTAGTAGTAGTAGTAGTAGTAGTAGTAGTAGTAGTAGTAGTAGTACCGGTAGTTGTCGTCCTGGAAGGCGTAGTTAGTAGTAGTAGTAGTAGTAGTAGTAGTAGTAGTAGTAGTAGTAGTAGTAGTAGTAGTAGTAGTAGTTGTCGTCCTGGAAGGCGTAGTTGTTATAGTAGTAGTAGTAGTAGTAGTAGTAGTAGTAGTAGTAGTAGTACCAGGTAGTTGTCGTCCTGGAAGGCGTAGTTGTTATAGTAGTAGTAGTAGTAGTAGTAGTAGTAGTAGTAGTAGTAGTAGTACCAGGTAGTTGTCGTCCTGGAAGGCGTAGTTGTTATAGTAGTAGTAGTAGTAGTAGTAGTAGTAGTAGTAGTAGTAGTAGTAGTAGTAGTAGTACCAGGTAGTTGTCGTCCTGGAAGGCGTAGTGCAGAGCTGTGATCCACTGAGAGTCGCCTTTGACCAGAACATCACGCTCTTCTTTAAAACACGCCGTCTGTGAAGTACAAGTACTTTTACTCACATACAAGTACAAGTACTTTTACTCACATACAAGTACTTTTACTCACACACATAGTACTTTTACTCACATACATAGTACACATACATACAGTAGTAGAAGTATCCCCTGATTTTAATATTCATGTATTTGAATATTAATAATAGAAGTGAGAGCAGAAGTACAAGTGTCTGTGATCGACACTCATGAGTATCTGTAGTATCTGTAGTACTTGTAGTACTTGTAGTATCTGTAGTACTTGTAGTACTTGTAGTACTTGTAGTATTTGTAGTACTTGTAGTATTTGTAGTACTTGTAGTACTTTGTAGTATACTTGTAGTACTAGTAGTACTGTAGTACTTGTAGTAGTATTTGTAGTACTTGTAGTACTTGTAGTACTTGTAGTAGTACTTGTAGTAGTAGTACTTGTAGTACTTGTAGTAGTACTTGTAGTACTTGTAGTAGTACTTGTAGTAGTAGTAGTAGTATTTGTAGTACTTGTAGTACTTGTACTTGTAGTATTTGTAGTACTTGTAGTACTTGTAGTACTTGTAGTACTTGTAGTACTTGTAGTATTTGTAGTACTTGTAGTACTTGTAGTACTTAGTACTAGTAGTATTTGTAGTACTTTGTAGTAGTACTTGTAGTACTTGTAGTACTTGTAGTACTTGTAGTACTTGTAGTATTTGTAGTATTTGTAGTACTTGTAGTATTTGTAGTATTTGTAGTACTTGTAGTACTTGTAGTATTTGTAGTACTTGTAGTACTTGTAGTACTTGTAGTACTTGTAGTATTTGTAGTAGTATTTGTAGTATTTGTAGTAGTAGTACTTGTAGTACTTGTAGTACTTGTAGTACTTGTAGTACTTGTAGTATTTGTAGTATTTGTAGTACTTGTAGTACTTGTAGTACTTGTAGTACTTGTAGTACTTGTAGTACTTGTAGTACTTGTAGTACTTGTAGTACTTTAGTAGTACTTGTAGTATTTGTAGTACTTGTAGTACTTTTAGTACTAGTAGTTGTAGTACTTGTATTTGTATTTGTAGTATTTGTAGTACTTGTAGTACTAGTAGTATTTTGTAGTACTTGTAGTACTTGTAGTACTTGTAGTACTTGTAGTATTTGTAGTACTTGTAGTATTGTAGTGTAGTACTTGTAGTACTTGTAGTACTACTTGTAGTACTTGTAGTATTTGTAGTACTTGTAGTACTTGTATATACTTGTAGTACTTGTAGTATTTGTAGTACTTGTGTAGTATTTGTAGTACTTGTAGTACTTGTAGTACTTTGTAGTATTGTAGTACTTGTAGTATTGTAGTACTTGTAGTACTTGTAGTACTTGTAGTACTTGTAGTACTTGTAGTACTTGTAGTATTTGTAGTAGTACTTGTAGTATTTGTAGTACTTGTAGTACTAGTAGTATTTGTAGTACTTGTAGTACTTGTAGTATCTGTAGTATCTGTAGTACTTGTAGTACTTGTAGTATTTGTAGTATTTGTAGTACTTGTAGTACTTGTAGTACTTGTAGTATTTGTAGTATTTGTAGTATTTGTAGTACTTGTAGTACTCACCTCAGCTCTCTTTAACATTTCCCATTTGTTGAGGATTTTCATGGCAAAAACTCTCTCTGTGTTTTTCAACTTCACCACGGCAACCTGAGGAAAGGAAACGAGGAGAGAGGGAAGGAGACAAGGAGAGAGGGAAGGAGACAAGGAGAGAGGGAAGGAGACAAGGAGAGAGGGAAGGAGACAAGGAGAGAAGGAAAGGAGACAAGGAGGTAAAAAAAAAAAAAAGGAAATGAGGAGAGAAGGAAAGAGGAGACATGTGAGTGCAGGAACGCACCTGTCGGGGGTGTGTCTGACACACCTGCCACAGGTATGTTCCTCTGTCTCAAACACGGGACTAGACCAGGACTAGACCAGGACTAGACCGGGACTAGACCGGGACTAGACCGGGACTAGACCAAAAATACACTGAAACTAGACCAGGACTAAACCACAAGTAAACCCGGACTGAACCTGAACCCGGACTGAACCCGGACTGAACCCGGACTGAACCTGAACCTGGACTGAACCTGGACTGATCCAGGTCCAGGACTCACTTCTCCAAACGCTCCTCGTCCGATCACTTTGAGGATCTCGAAATCGTCTCGGTGCAAACGCAGCTCCCTCACCCTGTCTGTGAACGGACGAACTGAGGGAGGAAGAGAAACAGCATGAGACAGGTGCAGACAGGTGCAGACAGGAGCAGACAGGAGCAGACAGGTGCAGACAGTGCAGTCTCACCGCTCTCGAGGAAGTCCTGGACGTGTTTCTCGCGCCTCAGCGGCGTCTGGCTGCACTCGGAGCAGAAGCAAAGCAGAAGGTCCAGAAGAGTCTCCACCCCCACGAGCCCCGCCCCCGCCTCCGACAGGCGCGCCTGGTCCGACAGGAGCGCCGACAGGGTCTGCAGTCGCTGCTCCGCCGGGGTCGCGGCCCGGGTCTGCCGCGGGGCCGACATCCTCAGACCGGGTCAGGACCTGGAGCGGGTCAGGACCTGGAGCGGGTCAGGACCTGGAGCGGGTCAGGACCTGGAGCGGGTCTGGACCTGGAGCGGGTCTGGACCTGGAGCGGTTCACGACCTGGAGCGGGTCACGACCTGGAGCGGGTCAGAGGAGCTGTTTAGGATTTGGATTCCAAACGCTCTGTTCCACCTCGTGATGTCATCAAGTGGTCGTTTCTGTTTGTTTGTTTCCGTTTAGTTCAGTCGAGATCAGCGACTCCAGAAATGAACGAACTGATCCAGGTGATTCAGGTGAAGGTGAAGTGTGGAGTTTAAAAACACAGTGGAGCACTTCCTGTATCACCACACGATGACATCACGAGGTGGAGCAGAGTGTTTTCTGTTTGTGTGTTAAACGTGTGACAGACAGGGACACAGAGGGACACAGACAGGGACAGACAGGACACAGACAGACAGGGACACAGACAGGGACACAGACAGGGACAGGGACAGACAGGGACACAGACAGGGACACTGACAGGGACACAGACAGGGACACTGACAGGGACAGGACACAGACAGGGACACAGGGACAGACAGGGACACAGACAGGGACACAGACAGGGACACTGACAGGGACACTGACAGGGACACAGACAGGGACACACTGACAGGGACACAGGGACACTGACAGGGACACAGACAGGGACACTGACAGGGACACTGACAGGGACACAGGGACAGGGACACTGACAGGGACACTGACAGGGACACTGACAGGGACAGGGACACAGACAGGGACACAGACACAGACAGGACACTGACAGGGACACTGACAGGGACACTGACAGGGACAGGGACAGACAGGGACACAGACAGGGACACTGACAGGGACACTGACAGGGACACAGACAGGGACACTGACAGGGACAGACAGGGACAGGGACACTGACAGGGACACAGACAGGGACACTGACAGGGACACAGACAGGGACAGGGACAGGGACACTGACAGGGACACTGACAGGGACAGACAGGGATGATGATGTGACTCTAATATTATTGATTTATTTTACTTTTATAATAACTCCTGATCCACCACAGAAACCAGAACTAAACCAGGACTAAACCAGAACTAAACCAGGACTAAACCAGGACTAAACCAGGAACTAAACCAGGACTAAACCAGAAAACTAAACCAGGACTAAACCAGAGAACTAAACCAGAACTAAACCAGGTCTAAACCAGAAACTAAACCAGGTAAACTAAACCAGGTAAACTAAACCAGGACTAAACCAGGTCTAAACCAGAACCAGGTAAACCAGGTCTAAACCAGAACTAAACCAGGTCTAAACCAGGTCTAAACCAGGTCTAAACCAGGTCTAAACCAGAACTAAACCAGGTCTAAACCAGGTCTAAACCAGAAGTAAACCAGGTCTAAACCAGAACTAAACCAGAACTAAACCAGGACTAAACCAGAACTAAACCAGAAATAAACCAGGTCTAAACCAGAACTAAACCAGAACTAAACCAGTCTAAACCAGGACTAAACCAGGTCTAAACCAGGAACTAAACCAGGACTAAACCAGGACTAAACCAGGACTAAACCAGGACTAAACCAGAACTAAACCAGAACTAAACCAGGTCTAAACCAGGTCTAAACCAGGACTAAACCAGGACTAAACCAGAACTAAACCAGGTCTAAAACCAGGTCTAAACCAGGACTAAACCAGGTAAACCAGAAACTAAACCAGGACTAAACCAGAACTAAACCAGGACTAAACCAGGTCTAAACCAGGTCTAAACCAGGAACTAAACCAGGTCTAAACCAGAACTAAAACCCAGGACTAAACCAGGACTAAACCAGGAAAACTAAACCAGAACTAAACCAGAACTAAACCAGGACTAAACCAGGACTAAACAGGACTAAAACCAGGTAAACTAAACCAGAACTAAACCAGGAACTAAGAACTAAACCAGGACTAAACCGGGACTAAACCAGGTCTGGTCCTTCCGGTCTAAATCAGGACCGTGCGCAGTCCGGGAGGGGGCCGGTCTTCCTGACCTGGAGTCCGGGATGGGAGCGTGTTTTCCGGGCACAGATTTCAGGACAGTCCGCTGGTCCCGGTGCCGCTGGTCCCGGTGCCGCTGGTCCCGGTGCCGCTGGTCCCGGTGCCGCTGGTTCCGGGTCCCGGGTCTGGCTCTGGGCTGAGGCCGCGGGAGGCGCCTCGGGAGCGGGGAAAGTCCAGATGAAGCGTCGGTTCCGCGACTCGGTTCGGAAGTGTTTAATCCCAGACCTGGACTCGGACTGGACTCGGACTAAACCGGGTCTAAACCAGGTCCAGTCCAGGTCTAGACCAGGTCCCGGGGTTAGGTGGAGCAGGCCGGTGCGCGCGGCTCCATGACACGGTTCTGTGCGCGTGCCCGCTCAGGACACACGCGCGCGCACGGACAGGACGGGGGGGGGTTCTGGTTCTGTGGGTCTGGTCCGGGTCCTGGTCTTGGTCCGGTCCTGGTCCGGGACTTGGGCCGGTTCTGGGTTTGGCCTGAGTCCGGGGGAGACTCGGGAAATGGCCGACAGCGGGAGCGCGCGCCAAGCTGCACACACGCACGCGCACTTCCGCCGCTGCCCCTTCACAATAAAACCACAAAAAGCCCCAGGATCAGTTTGGTCCGGTTCAGTTTGGTCCGGTTCAGTTTATTTTTTATTTGAATAGATTTGATAATTTTATAAAAGAAAAGACTATTTGCTGCTGCTTTTCACCTGCAGCCCCTGGGCAGGTGCAGTCTCTGGGCAGGTGCTGGGCAGGTGCAGTCTCTGGGCAGGTGCAGTCTCTGGGCAGGTGCAGTCTCTGGGCAGGTGCGGCCCCTGGGCAGGTGACATCACCTCTGCACACGTCCAGGAGCTTGAGGTTGAATTCCAGGGGCCCCACAACTGTCCCCTGTGGGACCCGACTTCCACCAGAGCTGAAAGGACAAAACAAAGTCTTTTTGTCTAAACTGAGTTTGAGGTGAAAGGACGAAGAGTTTAACAAACAAACAAACAAACAAACAAACAAACAAACAAACAAACAAACTCAGAGTCTGAGCCGGAGCCGCTTCAGTCGAGAACTGAAAAGCTTCATACAAACTCCAGACTCTAGACTCCAGAGCACCAAGACCTGGGTCTGGGTCTGAGTCTGGGTCTGGGTCTGAGTCTGGGTCTGGGTCTGGGTCTGGGTCTGGGTCTGAGTCTGGGTCTGGGTCTGAGTCTGGTCTGAGTCTGGGTCTGAGTCTGGGTCTGGGTCTGGGTCTGAGTCTGGGTCTGAGTCTGGGTCTGAGTCTATTGCAGTATTATACAGTATTATAATACTGCAGTATTATAATACTGTATAATACTGCAGTATTATACAGTATTATAATACTGCAGTATTATATATAGTATTATAATACTGTATAATACTGCAGTATTATACAGTATTATATAATACTGCAGTATTATAATACTGCAGTATTATAATACTGTATCTGCAGTATTATAAGTATTATGCAGTATTATAATACTGCAGTATTATAATACTGTATAATACTGCAGTATTATAATACTGCAGTATTATAATACTGCAGTTTTGTATTATTGTCCTGTTCCTTCAGGTTTTATTTCTTATAAAGTCTCTGTGAGGCTCGTGCTGCTGCGGGAGGGCATCAGGTGTAAAACACTCGGTCTTTAGTTTCGCTGCTGAGACTTTTACTGTGAAAGGAACTGAGCACAGACCGGAAGTGTGCCCGTGCTGCCGCACGCGCACATGACCCTCGGGAACACTCCCCGCCCCCTCCCGGACCGGAAACGGAAGGGAGAGATGACGTCACAGCGCCAGTGAGTGACAGCTCCAGATTCCTCCAGATGCGCCGCGGTCACGCGCTCATCAGATGTAAGATCAGATCTGTGGAGCTGAGGGACGCTTCAGCGCATTTATGTATAAATATACTTATATATATAATATATACAAACTACACTTATATACACACATATACACAATATATATATACTCATATATACACACATATACACAATATATATACACTTATATACACACATATACACAATATACACAATATATACACTTATATACACACTTATATACACACTATATATACACTTATATACACACATATACACACATATACACACATATATATACACTTATATACACACATATACACAATATATACACTTATATACACACATATACACAATATATATACACTTATATACACACATATACACTTATATACACACATATACACAATATATATACACTTATATACACACATATACACAATTATATACACTTACATATACACAATATATATACACTTATATACACACATATACACAATATATATACACTTATATACACACATATACACAATATATATACACTTATATACACACATATACACAATATATATACACTTATATACACATACAATATTTATACACATACAATAACTATAAACATCCTGTACAAACATTTACTAACTACATATCAAATAATTATACCAGATATAAGAGACATATTTGTCCTGACATTATTATTATTATTATTATTATTATTATTATTATTATTGTTGTTGTTATTATTATTATTATTATTGTTGTTATTATTATTATTATTATTGTTGATATTATTATTATTATTATTATTATTATTGTTGTTGTTGTTATTATTATTATTATTATTATTATTATTATTATTATTATTATTATTATTATTATTATTATTATTATTATTATTATTATTATATTATTATTTATTATTATTATTATTATTATTATTATATTATTATTATTATTATTATTATTATTACATGCTTTTTTATAAATTGTCTTCTTCTTGTGTCGGTTGTTGCTGACAGTTGCAGTTCTGGTCTGGGGCGGCAGGGGGCGCAGTGAGGCGGATCACAGTTACGTGATTCACGTTAATAATTAAATAAAACAACAACAGGAAGAACCGAGATGAACTTTCACTGACAAAACAAACAGGGTTTATTTTCACACAAACAAAACACTAAAACATTTAAAAATATACATTTACTCTGAACTAAAACACCTGATCTAGACCTGGTTTAGTCCTGGTTTAGTCCTGGTTTAGACCTGGTTTAGCCCTGGTTTAGTCCTGGTTTAGTCCTGGTTTAGTCCTGGTTTAGACCTGGTTTAGTCCTGGTTTAGACCTGGTTTAGTCCTGGTTTAGTCCTGGTTTAGTCCTGGTTTAGACCTGGTTTAGTCCTGGTTTAGCCCTGGTTTAGTCCTGGTTTAGTCCCAGTTTAGCCCTGGTTTAGTCCCGGTTTAGTCCTGGTTTAGTCCTGGTTTAGTCCTGGTTTAGAGCTGGTTTAGTCCTGGTTTAGTCCTGGTTTAGAGCTGGTTTAGTCCTGGTTTAGTCCTGGAACCTCTGCCTGAGGGCTCTGACCCGGTTGACGTTTAGTGGCTCATTCTGGTTCTGGTCTCTAGAATCTCGTCTGGACTCAGATCTAGACTCTGGTTCAGTCTCTGGTCTGGTCTCTGGTCTGGTCCCTGATCTGGTCCCTGGGCTGGTTCCTGGTCCGGTTCTTGATCCGGTCCCTGGTCCGGTCTCTGGTCTGGTCCCTGGTCTGGTCCCTGGTCTGGTCTCTGTTCTGGTTCCTGATCCGGTCTCTGATCTGGTCCCTGGTCCAGTCCCTGGTCTGGTCTCTGGTCTGGACTGGGTTTGTTTCTGGTAGATTCTGCGTCGTTCTGAAACGGCCCAAACACAGATCTTTTCTCGACTTGTGGGAGACCGGATCTGGACTAGACCCTGTTCTTGGTCTTGGTCCTGGTTCTGGTCTGGTCCAGGATTTGGGTCAGGTCCGGTGGTCAGGTCTGGGACTTGGACTGGGACTTGGACTGGTCCTGGTTTGTCTCTTTTCTTCTGACGTTTTGTTGTGTCTTTTGAATCAAATTTATTTTTCACAAACTCCAGACTTATGTTTGGATCTGGTCTCTGGTCCGGTCTCTGGTCTGGTCTCTGGTCTGGTCTCTGGTCCAGTCCCTGGTCTGGTCTCTGGTCCAGTCCCTGGTCTGGTCTCTGGTCCAGTCCCTGGTTTGGTTTCATGTTGAATCTCTCTTTGGCTCGCAGAAACCTCTCCCTGGACTTTGGGTCTGGTCCCTGCTCCGAACTCTGGTCTGGTTTCTTGTCCGGTTCCTGATCCGGTCTTTGGTCTGCTCTTTGGTCCGGTCTCTGCTCTGGTCTCTGGTCTGGTCTTTGGTCTGCTCTTTGGTCCGGTCTTTGTTCCAGTCTTTGATTTGGTCTTTGGTCCGGTCTTTGATTCGTTCTTTTGTTTGGTCCCTGGTCCGGTTTCTGGTCCAGTTTCTGGTCTGGTCTCTGGTCTGGTCTTTGATCTGGTTTCTGGTCTTGTCTTTGGTCTGGTCTTTTGTTTGGTCCCTGATCCGGTCTCTGATCCGGTCTCTGGTCCGGTCTCTGGTCTGGTCCAGGTTTTGTCTCAGATCCAGTTTTATTTCTGTTAAATTTTTCTTTTCGTGGATTTGTAGTTTTGAGTTTTCCTTCAAATCTGAGTCTCACCTCGTCCACAGTCGGTCCTGAGTCCTGGTTCAGTCCTGAGTCCTGGTTTAGTCCTGAGTCCTGGTTCAGTCCTGAGTCCTGGTTCAGTCCTGAGTCCTGGTTCAGTCCTGAGTCCTGGTTCAGTCCTGAGTCCTGGTTTAGTCCTGAGTCCTGGTTCAGTCCTGAGTCCTGGTTTAGTCCTGAGTCCTGGTTCAGTCCTGAGTCCTGGTTCAGTCCTGAGTCCTGGTTCAGTCTTGAATCCTGGTCTGGTTTAAGTCCTGGTTGAGGTCCTGGTCTCTGGTCTGGTCTTGGTCCAGAGTCTTGGGCAGGTCCCGGTGAGACCTTCTTCTCTCTGAGCTTCTGGAGATCTTCAGTTTCTCTGAAGGTTCCAGAACATTTGGACTCAAAGCTCCTGGTGACGTCCAGGACACAGACTCTGCGGTCCTGGTCCGAGTCCAAGTCCTGGTCTGAATCCTGGGTCTGGTCCTGAGGCATCTGAGCATCTAGAGATCTGAAAGACACAAGTAGACCTGGTTTAGACCTGGTTTAGACCTGGTTTAGACCTGGTTAAGACCTGGTTAAGACCTGGTCTGAGTCTGGGTCCGAGTCTGAGTCTGAGTCTGTGTTTAGTCCTGGTTTAGTCCTGGTTTAGTCCTGGTTTAGTTCTCACCTGTTCTTGGAGCTCAGGTGTCGACTCTCTGACCAATCACTGTCCTCCACACCTGAAGGAGACAAGGAGACGAGGTAATAAGGAGATGAGAAGGAAGGAGATGAAGAGATGAGGAGGTGAGGAGACGAGGAGAGAGGGGACAAAGAGACAAGGAGAGAGGAGACAAGGAGGTAGGAGGTAAGAGACAAAGAGGTAGGAGGTAGGAGACGTTGTAGATGAGGAGGAAGGAGACGAGGAGGTAGGAGGTAGGAGACTAGGAGGTAGGAGGTAGGAGATGAGGAGGTAGGAGATAGGAGATAGGAGGTAGGAGATGAGGAGGTTAGGAGGTAGGAGGTAGGTGGTAGGAGAAGTGGAGGTAGGAAATGAGGAGATAGGAGGTAGGAGATAAGGATGTAGGAGATGAGGAGATAGGAGGTTAGGAGGTAGGAGGTAGGAGATAAGGAGGTAGGAGATGAGGAGGTAGGAGGTAGGAGGTAGGAGGTAGGAGATGAGGAGGTAGGAGGTAGGAGATGAGGAGGTAGGAGATGAGGAGGTAGGAGATAGGAGGTAGGAGATGAGGAGGTAGGAGATGAGGAGGTAGGAGGTAGGAGATGAGGAGGTAGGAGATGAGGAGGTAGGAGATGAGGAGATAGGAGGTTAGGAGGTAGGAGATGAGGAGGTAGGAGATGAGGAGGTAGGAGATGAGGAGGTAGGAGATAAGGAGGTAGGAGATGAGGAGGTAGGAGGTAGGAGATGAGGAGGTAGGAGATAGGAGGTAGGAGGTAGGAGATGAGGAGGTAGGAGGTTAGGAGGTAGGAGGTAGGAGATGAGGAGGTAGGAGATGAGGAGGTAGGAGGTAGGAGATGAGGAGGTAGGAGGCTCTGAGGTTTTAAAATCCCACAGACTAAAGACTCAGACTCACGGTCGTTCTGTGGGACTCGGGTCTGGACTAGACCTGGTCTGGACCTGCCGGGGGAAGGGAGAGTCCTGGTCCTGGTCCTGGTCCTGGTCTTGGTCTTCAGGCTGTACCTCCGAACCAAAACCTGGACTTTGGACTGAGTCTGGTCCTCCTCATCATCCGCCTCACAACTGCAAACAAAACCAGGACTAAACCAGAACTAAACCAGGACTAAACCTGAACTGAACCAGGTCTAAACCAGGACCATGGTACCTGTATGAAGAGGCTCTTGGTCTGGTCCTTCTGGTTTTGATCTGGTTTTGTCGGTCGAGTTCTCTCCAGATCTGGATCATCTCAGACCGGTCCTGGTCCAGTCCTGGTTCTTGCTCTGGGTCCAGTTCTGGTTCTTGTTCTGGATTCTGTCCGGACTCTGGGACTGAGACGGTCTTTGGTGGATCCTGATCCAGTTCTGGTCCGGTCCGGGTCCTGGACTCTGTGGACAGAGGAGAACGTTCGACTCATGAGCGTTGTCATAGCAACCAAACAGCCAATCAGGAGCCAGGCCACGCCTCCCGTTCAACAGGGGGCGGGCGCTTAGCAAGGCTGTTAAGGCTGGTGGGCGGGGCCTCGGGGAAAGGAGGCGTCTGATTGGCCGCGCTCACAGATCTCCAGGTCCGTCCTGAGACTCACCGGAGCCGGGTTTCTCTGAGTTGATCCTGTAGACCGAGGTCTGGACCAGGCCCAGGGGGATGTGGTCCAGACTGTCCCTCCTCGTGGTCCTGGTCCGGGTCCTGGTCGGGACTTGGGTCTCGTAGTAAGTCCGGATCTTCTCCATCAGCAGCCGGTCTTTGAGTGACAGGCTGGAGTCCCGCCTCCTCAAGATGTTCTCCACAGAGTCCTCATCTGGACCTGAGACCGGGTCTGGACCAGAAACCGGGTCTGGACCAGAGCCTGAGTCTGGACCAGAGCCCAGATCTGGACCAGAGACTGGGACCTGCAGGAGACAGAGACAAGGTTCTTCTCAGGTCATACTGATACGTCATCACACTGAGGATGTTCTGGATGTATGTCTATGGTGGAATGTTCAGCAGTTACCATGGAGACACAAAACCCACAAGAGAAAAGAGTCAAAAACTGAACTGAAACTTTAAGAGTAAAGACTGAGACTGAGACGCTTCAGAAGATCTTTATGACGAGCAGAAAAACGAGGTGACGTCGTCCTGATCAGCGTCACCAGGGCCTCAGTCTGGACAGACCTGAGGTGGAGATGGACACGGAGCGTCTGGTGACTGGACCTTCACCCACGAGGCCCGACAGGAGCCTGAAGGAGCCTGAAGGAGCCTGAAGGAGCCTGAAGGAGCCTGAAGGAGCGACGTGAGGCCGTCCTCCTGAGGACCCAACACCTGCAGGAGGATCCATGAGGGTCCGGTTTGGGCTCGTCGCCCACAGCTCAGCGTGTTGGAGTTCACCTGGTGAACTTCTCGTTCTTCAGGTCCCGGCGCCTTCGGGTCGGGGACTCGTGTTTCTCTGTGGGACTCGTGTCTCTGTGGGACTCGTGTCTCTGTGGGACTCGTGTCTCTGTGGGACTCGTGTCTCTGTGACTCGTGTGACTCGTGTGGGACTCGTGTCTCTGTGGGACTCGTGTGTGTGGACTCGTGTCTCTGTGGGACTCGTGTCTCTGTGGGACTCGTGTCTCTGTGGGACTCGTGTCTCGTGTCTCTGTGGGACTCGTGTCTCTGTGGGACTCGTGTCTCTGTGGGACTCGTGTCTCTGTGGGACTCGTGTCTCTGACTCGTGTGACTCGTGTGTCGTGACTCGTGTAACTCGTGTCTGACTGTGACTCGTGTGACTCGTGTCTACTGTTGTGACTCACTCGACTCGTGACTCGTGTCTCTGTGAACTCTGACCTGAACCTGAACCTGAACCTGAACCTGAACCTGAGTTCTGTTCCTGCTCTGGTCTGGACTAAGATCTTGGACTCACTGGATCTGGGGTCCAGGCGGGTCTGGGGGACCCGGTCCAGCTGGGTCTGCCCGGTCTGGGTGAAGTCCAGCACAGAGTCCTGGTCCGGGTCCGGTCTAGGACCGGTTCTGAGAGCAGGTCTTCCTCTGACTCGGTCTCAGACGTCAGGGGCCGACAGTCCCAGTCCTGGTTCAGTCCTTGGTCTAGCCCTTGGTCCAGAGCCTGGTTCAGATCCTGGTCTAGTCCCTGGTCCAGATCCAGATCCTGGTTTCTGGGTGGAGATCTTTTAGGCTCCTGCAGAACAGACCAGGTTTAGTCCACAGACCAAAGTCCAGAGTCTCACATGAGTCCTGTTCACCTGGAGGTCTGGGTCCTGGTTCTGTTCCAGGTCTGGGTTCTGGTCTGGTTCTGAGGTCCCCGTGGTCTCAGTTGGTCCTGGTTTGGTCCGGTCTCGTTCTGTAGACCCACTCCTCACTGGAAAACACAGAGACTAAACCCCGGGTCTAAACCGGGTCTAAACCAGGTCTAAACCTGGTCCGAACCGGGTCTGGTCTGGTCTGGTCCGTACCTCGGTGCAGAGAGGACTTGAGCCGGTCCTCGGAGCTGTATTTGAGCCGACCTGAAACAGAACCGGGTCAGAACCAGGACTAGACTTGAACCAAAACTGGACTAAAATGTTCCAACGTGAAACTCACAGAACGGATTCTGCTCCAGAAACAAATCCTGCGCCTGAAACACAGAACCAGAACTAAACCAGGTCTAAATCAGGACTAAACCAGAACTAAACCAGGACTAGACCAGGACTAAACCAGGACTAAACCAGGACTAAACCAGGAAACCAAAACCAGGTCTAAACCAGGACTAAACCAGAACAAACCAGGACTAGAACCAGAACTAAACCAGGACTAAACCAGGACTAAACCAGGACTAAACCAGGACTAAACCAGGTCTAAACCAGGTCTAAACCAGGACTAAACCAGGACTAAACCAGGGACTCTAACCAGGACTAAACCAGGACTAAACCAGGTAAACCAGGACTAAACCAGGACTAAACCAGGACAAACCAGGACTAAACCAGGACTAAACAGGTCTAAACCAGGTCTAAACCAGGACTAAACCAGGACTAAACCGGGTAAACCAGGACTAACCAGGACTAAACCAGGACTAAACCAGGACTAAACCAGGACCAGGTTCTAAACCAGGACTAAACCAGGACTAAACCAGGTCTAAAACCAGGACTAAACCAGGTCTAAACCAGGACTAAACCAGGACTAAACCAGGACTAAACCAGGACTAAACCAGGTAAACCAGGACTAAACCAGGACTAAACCAGGACTAACCAGGACTAAACAGGACTAAACCAGGTCTAAACCAGGACTAAACAGGACTAAAACCAGGTCTAAACCAGGACTAAACCAGGACTAAACCAGGACTAAACCAGGACTAAACCAGGACTAAACCAGGTCTAAACCAGGTCTAAACCAGGTCTTACTTTCTGGGGGATCAGGTTCTGGTGATTTTCTAAAATGATGCGTTTGATGTGATGAGCCCAGAGCTGCTTCTCCTCCAGAGACCGAGCCTCAAACACAAACATGAACCAAGGAAATGAACCAATGAAATGAACGATTAAAGTAAATAAATAAACAAATGAAATGAACAAATGAACAAATTAAATTAATTAAATGAACAAATGAAATGAACAAATGAAATGAACGACTCTGTGCACCTGAGGGGGCGGGGCTTAGACTCACCTGTAAAGTGATTGGCTGTTTGGGGCGTCTGTAGTGAGTGACGCTGAAGCTCAACGAATCACGAGCGTTTTCAATCAACATCAGAGTACAACCCTGAAACAGAAACCAGGACTAAACCAGGACTAAACCAGGACTAGACCAGGACTAACCAGGACTAAACCAGGACTAAACCAGGACTAAACCAGGAAACCAGGACTAAACCAGGACTAAACCAGGACTAACCACCAGGACTAAGACCAGGACTAAACCAGGACTAAACCAAGGACTAAACCAGGACTAACCAGGACTAAACCAGGACTAGACTAAACCAGGACTAGACCAGGACAGGACTAAACCAGGACTAGACCAGGACTAGACTACCAGGACTAGACCAGGACTAGAACCAGGACTAAACCAGACTAAACCAGGACTAGACCAGACTAAACCAGGACTAAAGACCCAGGACTAAACCCAGGACTAAACCAGACTAAACCACTAGACCAGACTAAACCAGGACTAGACCACCAGGACTAAACCAGGACTAAACCAGGACTAAACCGACCAGGACTGAACCAGGTCTAGACCAGGTCTGGTCTGGGTCTCACCGTGATGTGGGTCTTGTAGACAAAGTTCTCGCCCTTCTTCTTGGTGATGAGCAGAACCTTCTGGAACAGCAGCAGGTTCCTGTGGCTCTTCACTCGCCTCAGGACAAAAGTTCCCTCCAAGACCAGGTCCCCGAACGAGACCAAGTCCGGACCTCGCCAGTTCACCAGAAGAGCCTGGACCTCCTGAGACCAGAGACCAGAGACCAGAGAGCAGGTTCAGAACCAGGACCAGACCAGGACCAGAACCAGGACTAAAGCAGGACCAAAACCTGCCTGAACCTGGACTGACCTGGACCCAGACTCGTCTGGACCTGGACTCACCTGGACCCGGACGCTGGACTCACCTGGACCCGGACCTGGACTCACCTGGACCCGACTGGACCTGGTCTTGGTCCTGGTCCTGGTGGACTCACCCGGACTTGGTCTTGGTCCTGGTCCTCGGTCCTGGTCCTGGTCTGGTCTGGTCCTCCTGGTCCTGGTCCTCGGTCCTGGTCCTGGTCCTGGTCCTGGTCCTGGTCCTGGTCCTGGTCCTGGTCCTGGTCCTGTCCTTGGTCCAGGTCCTTGGTCTCTGGTCCTGGTCCTGGTCTTGGTCAGACCTGGTCAGGAGCAGGTCTTGGTTACTGGTGAGGATTCTTTGGACGGGTTTGAGGAGGAAGGATCCGAGGGGCAGAGGAGAGTCCAGAACCTCCTGACGCCGACGCAGGAACCCGGCCCAAGTCTGGTCCCTCAGGAGCTCAGCCAGGACCCGGACCGACCTAAGACCGAGACCCAGACCAGACCGGGGTTAGACCAGACCTCCAGACCCGTTCAGACCCCCCGCAGACTGGTTGAGATCCCGGACCGGTCCTGGTACCTCGGGTAGTTTGTGCAGAACTGAGTGTAGATCTCGAAGTCCTCACTCTGAAAGAAAAGACCAGGTCTAAACCAGGACTAAACCAGGTCTAAACCAGAACTAAACCAGGTCTAAACCAGACTAAACCAGGACTAAACCAGGTCTAAACCAGGACTAAACCAGGACTAAACCAGGACTAAAACCAGGACTAAACCAGGACTAAACCAGGTCTAAACCAGAACTAAACCAGACTAAACCAGGACTAAACCAGGACTAAACCAGAACTAAACCAGGTCTAAACCAGGACTAAACCAGGACTAAACCAGGAACTAAACCAGAAACTAAACCAGACTAAACCAGGTCTAAACCAGGACTAAACCAGGTCTAAACCACCAGAACTAAACCAGGACTAAACCAGGACTAAACCAGGACTAAACCAGGACTAAACTAAACCAGGTCTAAACCAGACTAAACCAGGACTAAACCAGAACTAAACCAGGACTAAACCAGGACTAAACCAGGTCTAAACCAGGACTAAACCAGGACTAAAACCAGGACTAAACCAGGACTAAACCAGGTCTAAACCAGAACTAAACCAGGACTAAACCAGGACTAAACCAGGACTAAACCAGGACTAAACCAGGTCTAAACCAGGACTAAACCAGGAACTAAACCAGAACTAAACCAGGAAACTAAAACCAGGTCTAAACCAGGACTAAACCAGGTCTAAACCAGGACTAAACCAGGACTAAAACCAGAACTAAACCAGGACTAAACCAGGTCTAAACCAGGACTAAACCAGAACTAAAACCAGACTAAACCAGGACTAAACCAGGTCTAAACCAGGACTAAACCAGGACTAAACCAGGACTAAACCAGGACTAAACCAGGACTAAACCAGGTCTAACCAGGACTAAACCAGGACTAAAACCAGGTCTAAACCAGGACTAAACCAGGACTAAACCAGGTCTAAACCAGGACTAAACCAGGACTAAACCAGGACTAAACCAGGACTAAACCAGGACTAAACCAGAACTAAACCAGAAACTAAACCAGGACTAAACCAGAAAACTAAACCAGAACTAAACCAGGGACTAAACCAGAACTAAACCAGGAAACTAAACCAGAACTAAACCAGGACTAAACCAGAACTAAACCAGGACTAAACCAGGACTAAACCAGAACTAAACCAGGACTAAACCAGGACTAAACCAGAACTAAACCAGAACCAGTAAAACCAGGACTAAACCAGGTCTAAACCAGAACTAAACCAGGACTAAACCAGGACTAAACCAGAACTAAACCAGGTCTAAACCAGGACTAAACCAGGTCTAAACCAGGACTAAACCAGGTCAAAACCAGGACTAAACCAGGACTAAACCAGAACTAAACCAGGTCTAAACCAGGTCTAAACCAGCTAAACCAGACCAGGCTAAACCAGACTAAACCAGTCTAAACCAGAACTAAACCAGGACTAAACCAGGTCAAACCAGGACTAAACCAGGACTAAACCAGAACTAAACCAGGTCTAAACCAGGACTAAACCAGGACTAGGACCCAGGACTAGACTAGACCAGGACTAGACCAAGACTACAACAGGACTAGACCAGGACTAGACCAAGACTACAACAGGACTAGACCTGGGACTCCACAAGAACTAGATCGGGACTAGACTGGGACTAAACTGGGAACAGACTGGGACTAGACTGGGACTAGACTCAGACTGGATCAGGACTAGACTGAGACTAGAATGAGACCAGACCGGGACTAGACCGGGACTAGACCGGGACTGGACCGGGACTGGACCAGGACTGGGACTGGACCAGGACTGGACCGGACTGGGACCGGGACTGGACCGGGACTGGACCGGGACTGGACCAGGACTTGGGACTGACCTGTTGAACTCGTAGATTTCCTCGATGTTTCCGAACAGAGCGCTCACCTGGTCGGGCCGAATGCTGAGCTCTGATTGGTCGATGATGTGTCCCAGGTAATCCTGGACCAATCAGAGAGAAGCACAACATGACATCATCATTACATCATGTGACTAAACCAGAACTAAACCAGGACTAAACCAGGACTAAACCAGGACTAAACCAGGACTAAACCAGGTCTTACCTGGACGATCATCCTCAGGTCCCGGACGTAGACCCTCTCGGTCTCGATGATCTCCTGAACCACTCGGTCCAAATACGAGAGTCCAGGACTCGGAGACATGGTCCTGGACTTGGACCTGGAAGAAAAAACCTTCAGTGTCTCTGAGGAAAACTGTGAGGAGCAGAAGAACCCAGCTCCAGATCTGGTCCCTGGTCTGGTCTCTGGTCTGGTCTCAGGTCTGGTCTGGTCTCTCTGGTCTCTGGTCTGGTCTGGTCTCTGGTCTGGTCTGGTCTCTGGTCTGGTCTCTGGTCTCTGGTCTCTGGTCTCTGGTCTCTGGTCTGGTCTCTGGTCTCTGGTCTCTGGTCCCTGGTCTCTGGTCTCTGGTCTCTGGTCTCTGGTCTGGTCTCTGGTCTCTGGTCGGTCTCTGGTCTCTGGTCTGGTCTCTGGTCTCTGGTCTCTGGTCTGGTCTGGTCTGGTCTCTGGTCTCTGGTCTGGTCTGGTCTCTGGTCTCTGGTCTCTGGTCTGGTCTTCTGGTCTCTGGTCTGGTCTCTGGTCTGGTCTCTGGTCTCTGGTCTCTGGTCTCTGGTCTCTGGTCTCTGGTCTGGTCTCTGGTCTCTGGTCTCTCTGGTCTGGTCTCTGGTCTCTGGTCTCTGGTCTCTGGTCTCTGGTCTCTGGTCTCTGGTCTGGTCTCTGGTCTGGTCTCTGGTCTCTGGTCTCTGGTCTCTGGTCTCTGGTCTCTGGTCTGGTCTCTCTGGTCTGGTCTGGTCTGGTCTGGTCTGGTCTGGTCTGGTCTCTGGTCTGGTCTCTGGTCTCTGGTCTCTGGTCTCTGGTCTCTCTCTGGTCTCTGGTCTCTGGTCTGGTCTGTCTGGTCTCTGGTCTGGTCTCTGGTCTCTGGTCTGGTCTGGTCTCTGGTCTCTGGTCTCTGGTCTGGTCTCTGGTCTCTGGTCTGGTCTGGTCTCTGGTCTGGTCTCTGGTCTCTGGTCTCTGGTCTCTGGTCTCTGGTCTCTGGTCTGGTCTCTGGTCTCTGGTCTCTGGTCTCTGGTCTCTGGTCTCTGGTCTCTGGTCTGGTCTCTGGTCTGGTCTGGTCTCTGGTCTCTGGTCTCTGGTCTGGTCTCTGGTCTCTGGTCTGGTCTGGTCTCTGGTCTCTGGTCTCTGGTCTCTGGTCTGGTCTCAGGTCTCTGGTCTCTGGTCTCTGGTCTCTGGTCTCTGGTCTCTGGTCTGGTCTCTGGTCTCTGGTCTGGTCTCTGGTCTCTGGTCTCTGGGTCTGGTCTGGTCTCTGGTCTGGTCTCTGGTCTCTGGTCTCTGGTCTCTGGTCTCTGGTCTCTGGTCTCTGGTCTCTGGTCTCTGGTCTCAGGTCTGGTCTCAGGTCTCAGGTCTGGTCTCTGGTCTCTCTGGTCTCAGGTCTGGTCTCTGGTCTCTGGTCTCTGGTCTCTGGTCTCTGGTCTGGTCTCTCTGGTCTCTGGTCTGGTCTCTGGTCTCTCTGGTCTCTGGTCTCTGGTCTGGTCTCTGGTCTCTGGTCTGGTCTCTGGTCTCTGGTCTCTGGTCTCTGGTCTGGTCTCTGGTCTGGTCTCTGGTCTCAGGTCTTTGTTTCTGTGTCACTTTTAAAAGATTTTGTAAATAAAATAAAAGTTTAAATGAACAAAAAAATAAAAACATGTTTAAAATTCCACAGATAAAAACCGACCAATCAGAGAGCAGCGTTTACTTTCAAAATACTGAAGCTCCGCCTCCAAAAGCACAAGGAAGATCCAGAACCGGACCAGGACTCAAACCGGACCAGAACTCAACCAGGACTCAACCAGGACCAGGACTCAACCAGGACTCAAACAAGACTGACCTGGGACCAGGACTCAACCAGGACTGAAGCAGGACCAGGACTCAACCAGGACTGACCCGGGACCAGGACTGAAGCAAAACTGAACCAAGACTCACCCAGGACTCAACCAGAACTGAAGGAGGACTGAAGCAGGAATGCACCAGGACTAGATCAGGATCTGGTCTGGAGCTGGTCTGAGGGCGGGTCCGGGTCCGGGTCTGGGTCCCGGTCCAAAAACCGTTAAAGGAAATGAGTCAAACAAACAGGAATCTGGTCTGACCCCGAGAGACGGGAGGGCACCTGACGGAACTGCTCCATCGAGTCTAGACCAGGACTAACCCAGGACTAACCCAGGACTAACCAGGACTAACCCAGGACTAAACCAGGACTAACCCAGGACTAACCAGGACCAGGACTAACCAGGACTGAACCAGGACCCAGGACTAACCCAGGACTAACCAGGACTGAACCAGACTAACCAGGACTAACCCAGGACTAACCCAGGACTACCAGGACTAACCCAGGACTAACCCAGGACTAACCCAGGACTGACCAGGACTAAACCAGGACTAAACCAGGACTAAACCAGGACTAAACCAGGACTAAACCAGGACTAACCAGGACTAAACCAGGACTAACCCGGGTCTGTTTGTCACGGCGGTTCTTACCTGGTCTCTCGTGAGGTCTCGGTCTAAATCAGGTCTGGATCTAAATCTGGTCTAAGTCCTAAAGATCTGTTTGATTGACAGGTAGGGGGCGTGGCTTGGCTTGGGGGGGCGGGGTTTAATCCAATTAGTGTAAAACATCTCAGACAGGAAGAGGAACTTTCAAAATAAACCCAGACAGGAAGAGGAACTTTCAAAATAAACTCTGACAGGAAGAGGAACTTTCAAAATAAACTCTGACAGGAAGAGGAACTTTCAAAATAAACTCTGACAGGAAGAGGGGCTTTCAAAATAAACTCTGGAGGGCCTCAGATTTCTGCGGTGAGGAACCTCTGGTCTGACGCCGTCGAGAGTCAGGGTCAAACTCTTGACCCTGTCAGACTCTGGCAGGTGTAGAAGGTTCTGGTTCCTCCTGACGCGCGTGTGGAAGAACCTGAGGCAGAACCTGAGGAAGAACCTGAGGAAGAACTGAGGAAGAACCTGAGGAAGAACCTGAGGCAGAACCTGAGGCAGAACCTGAGGCAGAACCTGAGGCAGAACCTGAGGAAGAACCTGAGGCAGAATGTTCCTTATCATCACAGAACCCAACCTGACAGAAACTCTGGGACCAGAAGATTTTGTTGTTTGTGTGCGTGTGTCTGTGTGTGTTTGTGTGTGTGTGTGTGTGTGTTGTGTGTGTGTCTGTGTGTGTCTGTGTGTGTGTGTGTGTGTTTGTGTGTTGTGTGTGTGTGTGTGTCTGTGTTGTGTGTCTGTGTGTGTGTGTGTGTGTGTGTGTGTGTGTGTGTGTGTGTGTGTGTGTGTGTGTGTGTGTGTGTGTGTGTGTGTTGTGTGTGTGTGTGTGTGTTGTGTGTGTGTTTGTGTGTGTCTGTGTGTGTGTGTGTATGTGTGTGTGTGTGTGTGTGTGTGTGTATGTCTATGCATAAATCATTTCAAACTTTGGACTCAAATAAACGACTCAACTCGTCACAATAAAGAATTTTAATAAAAACTTTACAGACGATTGTCACGGCAACAAGAACAAAAGTTAGTGCTTTTAAAGATCTGTTAGTCCTGGTTTAGTCTGGTTTAGTCTGGTTTAGTCCTGGTTTAGACCTGGTTTAGTCCTGGTTTAGACCTGGTTTAGTCCTGGTTTAGACCTGGTTTAGTCCTGGTTTAGACCTGGTTTAGTCCTGGTTTAGTCCTGGTTTAGTCCTGGTTTAGACCTGGTTTAGTCCTGGTTTAGTCTGGTTTAGTCCTGGTTTAGTCCTGGTTTAGTCTGGTTTAGTCTGGTTTAGTCCTGGTTTAGTCTGGTTTAGACCTGGTTTAGTCCTGGTTTAGTCCTGGTTTAGTCTGGTTTAGACCTGGTTTAGTCCTGGTTTAGACCTGGTTTAGACCTGGTTTAGTCCTGGTTTAGTCCTGGTTTAGTCTGGTTTAGTCCTGGTTTAGTCTGGTTTAGTCTGGTTTAGTCCTGGTTTAGTCCTGGTTTAGTCCTGGTTTAGACCTGGTTTAGACCTGGTTTAGACCTGGTTTAGTCTGGTTTAGACCTGGTTTAGTCCTGGTTTAGACCTGGTTTAGACCTGGTTTAGTCCTGTTTAGTCCTGGTTTAGTCCTGGTTTAGTCTGGTTTAGTCTGGTTTAGTCTGGTTTAGTCTGGTTTAGTCTGTTTTTAGTCCTGGTTTAGTCTGGTTTAGTCCTGGTTTAGTCTGGTTTAGTCTGGTTTAGTCTGGTTTAGTCTGGTTTAGTCCTGGTTTAGTCCTGGTTTAGTCCTGGTTTAGTCCTGGTTTAGTTCTGGTTTAGTCCTGGTTTAGTCTGGTTTAGTCCTGGTTTAGTCTGGTTTAGTCTGGTTTAGTCTGGTTTCTTTGGTGTACGTTTCATGGGGATGATCTCGTGTTTTGGTGCAGCAGATACAAACTGAACTACATGGACCATGATGCTTTGCGGCGTCAGTGCAGGTCACATGAGGAAACGTTTGTTCTTCAGTTTGGACGGAGACGTTCGAGACACAAACTCCGACTCACGAAATAACAAAGGAAAATAACAAACTGAAAAATCTGTTTCTGTCACATCCCCAAGACTTAAGTGCACTGTGTCCACCTGCTGCTCTCCCCTCCACAGATCTGCTCCGGTCTGGAGGCTCTGGAGGCTCTGGAGGGTCTGGAGGCTCTGGAGGGTCTGGAGGGTCTGGAGGCTCTGGAGGCTCTGGAGGCTCTGGAGGCTCTGGAGGGTTGGAGGGTCTGGAGGCCTGACTGGAGGGGTTAGTGATGGTCGGGTTGGTTGCGAGGCGACTGTGGGTCAGATGTGGCTCGATTGTGGCTCGAATGTGGGTTGGGTGCAGGTTGATTGAGGGGGCAAGTTGCAGGGGTTGGTTGCGGGGGGCAGTTGTGGGGCCGGATGCAGGTGCAGGTTGTGGTTCGGTGTTGGATCAGTTGTGGGTCAGGTTGCAGGTCAGACTCTCTTGTTTCGCACGGTGCTGCAGGTGTTGCGGGGTCCGGTTGCGGGGTCAGGCTGCAGGGTCCGGTTGCGGGGTCCGGTTTGCGGGGTCGGGGTCAGGTTGCGGGCAGGGCGGTCCGGTTGCGGGGTCCGGTTGCGGGGTCGGTTGCGGGTCAGGTTCCGGGGTCCGGTTGCGGGGTCCGGTTGCGGGGTCCGGGTGCGGGGTCCGGGTGCGGGGTCCAGTTACGGGGTCCGGTTGCGGGGTCCGGGTGCGGGGTCCGGTTGCGGGGTCCGGTTGCGGGGTCCGGTTGCGGGGTCCGGTTGCGGGTCACACTCTCTTGTTGTGCACGGTGCTGCAGTGAGCCCTCATGTCCTTCCTGAGTCTAAACTTGTCTCCGCACACGGAGCAGACGTACAGATGAACCTCCATGTGCTGCTCCAGCTGCTCCGCCCCCGGGAACATCTGGAAACACACCTGCCAAACAGACAGGGGACAGACAGGTGACAGACAGGTGACAGACAGGTGACAGACAGGTGACAGACAGGTGACAGAGAGACACCTGTTAAAATACTGGCAAAAATATTGCAGGTAATAGTTAGAACTTTACTGGTTTAGTCCTGGTTTAGTCCTGGTTTAGTCCTGGTTTAGTCCTGGTTTAGTCCTGGTTTAGTCCTGGTTTAGTACCTGGCAGATGGTTTCCCCCGGCGACAGGTGTGAGATCATGTGACGTACGTGGTCCTGTTTCAGAAAAGTCCCCTGTTCACAGACGGGACAAACGTACCGCGCCACACCTGAAAAAGACCAAACACAGACCTGATTTAGTCCTGGTCTAGTCCTGGTCTAGTCCTGGTTTAGTCCTGGTTCAGGTTTAGTCCTGGTTTATTCCTGGTTTAGTCCTGGTTCAGGTTTAGTCCTGGTCTAGTCCTGGTCTAGTCCTGGTTCAGTCCTGGTCTAGTCCTGGTCTAGTCCTGGTTTAGTCCTGGTTCAGGTTTAGTCCTGGTTTAGTCCTGGTTCAGTCCGGGTTCAGTCCTGGTTCAGTCCTGGTTTAGTCCTGGTTTAGTCCCGGTTCAGTCCTGGTCTAGTCCCAGTTTAGTCCTGGTTTAGTCCGGGTCCGGTACCTCGGTGCATGTCCTGGTGCAGGCGCAGCTGGCGTTGCCGTAGAAACCCTTTTCCGCAGGTGAGGCAGGTGAACTGTTTGTGTTTGGTGTGGACGGTGTAGTGCTCGCGCAGGTGACAGCGCTGGAAGAAGCCCCGCCCACAAATCCCGCAGAAGTGACGCCGCCGCGGCTCGTCCAATGAGAAGGCGGCGGGCACCAAGCCGGCCAATGACGCGCCGACGTTCTGAGGAGGCGGGACAAACACAAAACGGCTCAGACTCAGGTTGTGTGTCGGTTGTGCATCGGTTGCGTGTCGGTTGCGTGTCGGTTGCGTGTCGGTTGCGCGTCGGTTGTGTCGTCGTTGCGTGTCGGTTGCGTGTCGGTTGTGTGTCGGTTGCGCGTCGGTTGTGTGTCGGTTGTGTGTCGGTTGCGGGTCGGTTGCGTGTTGGTTACGTGTCGGTTGTGTGTCGGTTGCGTGTCGGTTGTGCGTCGGTTGAGTGTCGGTTGTGTGTCGGTTGTGTGTCGGTTGTGTGTCAGTTGCGTGTCGGTTGTGTGTCAGTTGCGTGTCAGTTGTGCGTCGGTTGCGTGTCGGTTGTGCGTCGGTTGCGTGTCGGTTGTGTGTCGGTTGTGTGTCAGTTGCGTGTCGGTTGTGTGTCGGTTGCGTGTCGGGTGTGTGGGTTGCGTGTCGTTGCGTGTCGTTGCGTGTCGGTTGCGTGTCGGTTGCGTGTCGGTTGTGCGTCGTCGTTGTGTCGGTTGTGTGTCGTTGTGTGTCGGTTGTGTGTCGGTTGCGTGTCGGTTGTGTGTCAGTTGCGTGTCGGTTGTGTGTCAGTTGCGTGTCGTTGTGCGTCGTGCGTGTCGGGTGTGTGGGTGCGTGTCGGTTGTGTCGTTGCGTGTCGGTTGTGTGTCGGTTGCGTGTCGGGTGTGTGGGGTTGCGTGTCGGTTTGTGCGGTTGGTTGTGTCGGTTGTGTGTCGGTTGTGTGTCGTTGTGTGTCGGTTGCGGGTCGGTTGCGTGTCGGTTGTGGTTGCGTGTCGGTTGTGGGTCGGTTGCGTGTCAGTTGTGCGTCAGTTGCGTGTCGGTTGTGCGTCAGTTGCGTGCCGGTTACGTGTCGGTTGCGGTTGTGCGTAGGTTGCGCGTCTGTTGTGCGTCGGTTGTCGCTCACCTCACACGCGTCCAGCAGGTGGCAGGCTTCCATCTCCTCTTCCTCGTGGTCTTCCTCCTCGGAGTCTTCCTCGGGGTTCTCGGGGTGGTCCTGGCTCTGGTTTGGATCCGGGCTCAGGTCTTGGCTCAGGTCTTGGGTCAGGTCTTGGCTCAGGTCCTGGTTCCGGTCCGGGTTCTGGGCGCAGCGCTGGGCGTGCTCCTGCAGCTGCCGGCCTTTGATCAGCACCTGCCCGCACCTGCCGCAGGCGCACATGTGACTGGTGTGGTCCGACAGGTAGTGACCCGACAGGTCCTGACCCTGAGGAGCAGAGCAGAGGTCACAGCCTGACCTTTGACCCAAACCCAAACCCATCTGAACCTGGATCTGGACTTTAGACCCTGTGCTGGACCTGGAGGCTTTATGGACCTGAGGTAAGATTCTGAGCACCAGGTCACCACAAGCTCCACTGGACCCAGAAGGTTTCAGCTTCAGTCTCACTCAGATCTGCTCTAAATCAAACGGACCGAGACTCAAAAAGAGCAGGTCTCGGTCGCTCGACTCTGCACCAAACGACAAACTCTGGTTCCTCTGGTGAGACGCCAACTCAGGTCCAAACCAACTAACAGATGCATCATGGGAGGGAGACTCATGATGTCATTTCCTGTTTGTGGTGAGTGAAGAAGACGAGGGACGAAGCTCGACCGGCGACAAAACGAACTCCGAGTCCCGGAGGAGCGAATGAAGGAACCAGAACTGATTTAAAGAGTCTCGGACAGTTTCCCTGAAGCGGCCGAGTGGACGCAGACCTGCACCGCTTCATCTGAGACCAGCACCTGATACTGCAGGTTCACCAGGTCGACCTGAGTGCACCGGGCACAGGGGCAGAGGAACCCGCTGTGTGCAGGAGCCTGAGATTAACGTGAGTGAGAACAGGTTTGGTCTGAGGCGTCTGTGATAAAGTCTGTGTCTGCGTCTGTGTCTGCGTCTGCGTCTGCGTCTGCGTCTGCGTCTGCGATACAGAGGAACTCTTTTCCTGCCTCGGGTCGACCTGTTAACGAGTGAAATCGAGTCCCTGAGTCTGGTCCCCGCTCACACACATGTATGTGCAGGTCCCCGCACAGTGACAAATACCCACCTTGAGCTCCAGTCCACACAGCTCACACCGAGACTCCGAGTCCTGGTCCAGACCCGAGTCCAGACCGGGGTCCAGACTTGGGTCCAGACCCGGCTCCAGTTTGATCCTCTTGGCCGAGTCCTGGTCCGGACTCTGCTCCTGGTTTTTGTGGGAGCCGCCGGGTTCCGAGTCGTCCGGTTCCGACTTGACGGAGACGCCGGGTCCCGGGTCGGTCCTGGTCCAGTCCTCGGTCTCGGTCTTGACTCTGGTGTCGCCGGAGTCCGGGCTGGACTCGGTGTCTGTGTGGTAGAGGCGGCCGTGGTCCCGGGCGTGATCCCGGCCGTGGTCCCGGGCCTGGTCTCTGCTCTGGTCCCGGTCCTGGTCCCGGGTCTGGACCGGGGGCGGGTTCTTGCGGTTGGTGCAGGTCAGGATGTGCTCGATGAGGAGTTTTTCGCAGCTGAAGACGAAGCCGCAGTCGTCGCAGGTGAAGGTTCGGCCGAAGCGCGGACGCTCCTTCAGACGCTCCGAGGTTTTACGCAGCGTCCGGCGAAGGTCACAAGGCTCCGCCTCCCCCAGAGGCGGCGCCGCCAGCACGGGCGGCACCGCCAGAACCGACACCTCCTCCACCGAGATGGGCCGACTGCAACGGGAGAAGAAGAACGAGAAGAACAACGCTTCAGAACCAAAGAACCGGACCAGAACATCTCCTCAGGACCCTCGTTTAGAACCTTCACTCACCTGTTCCCCGTGGAGCTGCTGGTCTCTGGTCCCAGTCTGTTCTCTAGTCCTGCCCTGGTCTCAAGTCCTGCTCTGGTCTCTAGTCCTGCTCTGGTCTCAAGTCCTGGCCTGGTTTCTGGTCTTGGTTCTGGTCCTGGTCTTGAGGGAAACATTCGGACCCCAAACATGAGTTTAGTCCCAGAGTTTGGACCCTGGACTCGGCCAAGTTCCTCCAGAGACTCAGGGACGTAGTACATCTGCAGCTGCTGCATGGAGGTCTTCAGGTCTTCAAAGTCCAGACTGAAGAAAACCAGAACCAACCAGAACCAACCAGAACCAATCAGAACCAACCAGAAGAACCGCCGAGAAGAACCGATGAGAAACAGAGAGAACAGAAGAACGAGAAGTTCAGGACACTTGAGACTCATTTGATTCTTATTATTTTATATTTATCAAATATTTTACAATATTCAGATCTTTTCAGTTTTTATTGTTGTCACCTGTAGAGGGGAGACTACATGACTGCTATGGCTCATTTTGGTGGATCTGCTGCAGCCTGATTCTCTCTTTCACTGTGTTTGTGACATGAAGTACTTTTAGTTTTATCGTTTATCTCAGTATTTCTCTGAAGTTATTTATTGAGTGGTAGTAGTAGTAGTAGTAGTAGTAGTAGTAGTAGTAGTAGTAGTAGTAGTAGTAGTAGTAGTAGTAGTAGTAGTAGTAGTAGTAGTAGTAGTAGTAGTAGTAGTAGTAGTAGTAGTAGTAGTAGTAGTAGTAGTAGTAGTAGTAGTAGTAGTAGTAGTAGTAGTAGTAGTAGTAGTAGTAGTAGTAGTAGTAGTAGTAGTAGTAGTAGTAGTAGTAGTACCTGTCTGTAGTAGACACGCGGCCCTGGTACATGTACTGCAGTAGTAGTAGTAGTAGTAGTAGTAGTACCTGTCTGTAGTAGACACGCGGCCCTGGTACATGTACTGCAGTAGTAGTAGTAGTAGTAGTAGTACCTGTCTGTAGTAGACACGCGGCCCTGGTACATGTACTGCAGTAGTAGTAGTAGTAGTAGTAGTAGTAGTAGTAGTAGTAGTAGTAGTAGTAGTAGTAGTAGTAGTAGTAGTAGTAGTAGTAGTAGTGGTAGTAGTAGTAGTAGTAGTAGTAGTAGTAGTAGTAGTAGTAGTAGTAGTAGTAGTAGTAGTAGTAGTAGTAGTAGTAGTAGTAGTAGTAGTAGTAGTAGTACCTGTCTGTAGTAGACACGCGGCCCTGGTACATGTACTGCAGTAGTAGTAGTAGTAGTAGTAGTAGTAGTACCTGTCTGTAGTAGACACGCGGCCCTGGTACATGTACTGCAGTACTCGGTCGAAGCTGGTGGCGCTGAGGCCCGTGTGGCTCAGGTCGACGCTCTGCTGCCCCCTGCAGTCTGATTGGATGAAGAGCATCCTGAAGAAGGCGGAGCAGGCGGCGAGGACGGCCCTGTGCGCCCGGAACTGAGTGTCCCCGATGGACACGAGGACGTCACACAAGAAGCCCCACTCCCTCTGCGCGTCCAACTGGTCCAACACGTGCTCCGCGTGAGGGGAGGGCATCTGGAGTAAACACAAACACACACATGAGGCTCCGCGTGAGGGGAGGGCATCTGGAGTAAACACAAACACACACACAACACATGAGGCTCCGCGTGAGGGGAGGGCATCTGGAGTAAACACAAACACACAACAAACACATGAGGCTCCGCGTGAGGGGAGGGCATCTGGAGTAAACACACACACACACACAACACATGAGGCTCCGCGTGAGGGGAGGGCATCTGGAGTAAACACACACACACAACACAAACACATGAGGCTCCGCGTGAGGGGAGGGCATCTGGAGTAACACACACACACACACAACACATGAGGCTCCGCGTGAGGGGAGGGCATCTGGAGTAAACACACACACAAACACACAACACACATGAGGCTCCGCGTGAGGGGAGGGCATCTGGAGTAAACACACAACACACACACACATGAGGCTCCGCGTGAGGGGAGGGCATCTGGAGTAAACACACAACACAACACACACATGAGGCTCCGCGTGAGGGGAGGGCATCTGGAGTAAACACACAAACACACAACTCGGGCTTGTTTCATTATGAAGTTGTACGATACAAATGATGCAAATAAAGTTTTGATTCAATACGATAAAATGTTTACGACAAATCAATTCGATAAAGTTATAAAGTGTAAATCAGGTTTGTGACACTAAACGTCTAAAACTAAAAGTTCATCTGAAACACTTGAAACATTTTAATCGTCAAAACAGTGAAAAGTTCCTTCCTCTGAACAAACGACAAAACTGGAACTAAATCATTTAATAAAATAAATTTAAAAATCCTCTTGGCAATTTATCGCTACAACAGAACACGATATCCAGACTGAATCATCACATTAAACGATACGATATATCGGTATTTCGATATTTTTGCACATCCCTACACACAACACAACACACGAGGCTCCGCGTGCAGGGAGGGCATCTGGAGTAAACACAAACACACACGCGCCCCCCCCCCCCTCTCTCTCTCTCTCTCTCTTAACCTCTGCTGACGTCACTGCCGGTTTCTGAGGCTTTTATTCTGAAAGGGTCCCTGTGTGACGCCGCAGCGTGCGTGTTGACGTCCTGTACGTGCCGTGCGTCGTGCGTGCGTCCCGCACAGCCCCGCCGCCCCCGCAGTCCCCGCAGCTGCACGCGGCCTGTCCCCGGACCAGCCCCGGTCCTCCCCGGTCCTCCCCGACTCACCGCGGCTCCTGTGGCCGGCGCGGGCGCTCCCTCGGGCGGCGCGGGCGGAGCGCAGGTCCCGGTGTCGTGGAGCGTGAGGAGGAGCGGGACTCCGCGGGGTTTGAGGCCGGATGTCGCGCTCTGGAGCGGGGCAGAGTCTGGGGCACAGTCCGCTGCTTCTGCGGGACTCGACTCTTCCGCACAAACTCTGCGTCATCACGCACCACACGCACCGCACTTCCCGCACGCGCCCTTCAAAATAACAAAAGGAAACACTCGAGTGGGCCAAACCGGGCCGAACCGGGCCAGACCCGGGTCAGACCGGGGCTGGTTCTGAGCCAAAACTTTCCCAGAGCAATAAAACCAAACCAAAAACCTGCAGTCTGGTCCTGCTCTGGACCTGATCTGGTCCTAATCTGGACCTGTTAAAGTCCTGATCTAGACCTGGTCCAGTTCTGGTCTAGTCCTGATCCAGACCCGCACGCGGGGCTCGTGTGGAGCTGCAGGTCCATCAGGTCTTTGATCTGGGACTAATTTATCAGAGACACAAACGCGGGGACTGAGGGAGACTGAACCGGGACCAGACCGGGTCTAGAACGGTTCTAGACCGGTTCTAAACCGGGACTAGTTTAAAGCGGGCCTAAAGCAGGACCTGACCCGGACTGGGGCAGGTCTTTGGACTTTTCTGTTAAACTCAGGAGCTGCTCCTCTCTCTCCTGCCCACGTGACCCTCTCTCCCGTGTTCTCGCGGGATTTCTCGTTTCTCTCCGTGTTCTGGGTTTTGTTCTCGCGAGTCTTGGGCTCTGATCTCCGCCGCGTCCGTCTCCGGCTCGGGTCCGTCTCAGGTCAGTCCCGGTTTGGTTCTGGTCCAGGTCCCGGTCCAGGTCCTGGTCCGGTGAGTCCCCGCGCGTGCACGGGGCTGCGGGGGAGCGTGCGCGTGTGACAGTGTGTGTGTATGTGTGCGCGTGCGTGTGAGGGAGACGTGAGGACACAGAGCCAGAGCCGCGCTCCCGCTCAGACCCGGTCCAGACCCGGTCCAGACCCGGTCCGGAGCCGCTCTGGTCCCGTGGCGGGTCCGGGGTCCGGTTCGGGTCCGGTTCGGGTCTCGTGCGTCCGGAGCGGCTGTATTTGATGTGAGGAGGATGCGCGCGCGTACAGGTGGAGGCCGCGCGCGAGGAGGAGGGGGCGGGGTCTGTCTCCGTTTGATGTGTCTCCATGGAAACGGGACTAAACCAGGTCCAAACCGTCCGGAACCTTTCACACTTTACATTTACCACATTTACGGTTCCGCTCGGTGTTATTCTAGTGTGATGACGTCAGTGCGTGGGAGGAGCGGCTCTGACGTCACAGCGGGGGACGAAGCTTCAGCAGAATTTGAACTTTTTAAAAACACGTTTGAATCATGATTGAATCATGACTGAATATTTACAGTTTTTACATTTAAATGTTTAAAAAAAAAAAAAAACTTTAACATTTTCAGTTCAAATATTTAAAACACAATAAAATCTGCAGCAAGAATCCAAAACTTCTCCTGCTCCTCTGACATGTTCTTCTACTCTCACATGTTCTCCTCACATGTTCTCTGATGTTCTCCTCACATGTTCTCGTGTTCTCCTCCTCTCATGTTCTCTGACGTTCTCCTCTCGTGTTCTCCTCCTCTCATGTTCTCTGACGTTCTCCTCTCGTGTTCTTCTCCTCTCATGTTCTCTGACGTTCTCCTCCTCTCATGTTCTCTCGTGTTCTCCTCAGAGATGGAGGCCCACAGTCTTCTCCTCCTGCAGCAGTTGAACGTTCAGAGGGAGTTCGGGTTCCTCTGCGACTGCACCGTCGCCATCGGGAACGTGTTCTTCAAAGCTCACCGCGCCGTCCTCGCCGCGTTCTCCAACTACTTCAAGATGATCTTCATCCACCAGTCCAGGTCTGAACCAGGACTGGACCAGAACTAAACCAGGACTAAACCAGGACTAGACCAGGACTGAACCAGGACTAAATCAGGACTAAATCAGGACTAAAGGACTAAACAGGACAGACTAAACCAGGACTGAACCAGGACTGGACCAGAACTAAACCAGGACTAAACCAGGTCTGAACCAGGACTGGACCAGAACTAAACCAGGACTAAACCAGGACTAGACCAGGACTGAACCAGGACTAAATCAGGACTAAATCAGGACTAAACCAGGACTAGACCAGGACTGATCCAGGACTAAATCAGGACTAAACTAAGACTGAACCAGAACTAGACCAGGACTAAACTGGGACTAGACCAGGACTAAATCAGGTCTAAACCAGGACTGAACCAGGACTAGACCAGGACTAAACAAGAACTAAACCAGGACTAAACCGGGACTAGACCAGGACTAGACCAGGACTAAACCAGGACTGAACCAGGACTAGACCAGGACTAGACCAGGACTAGACCAGGACTGAACCAGGACTAAACAAGAACTAAACCGGGACTAAACCGGGGCTAGACCAGGACTAGACCAGGACTAAACCAGGACTAGACCAGGACTAAACCAGGACTGAACCAGGACTAAACAAGAACTAAACCAGGACTAAACCAGGACAGAACAAAGCCTAAACTTGCTCTAACCCGGTCTCTGTTCTGGTTCTGGTTCCGGTTCTGGTTCCGGTTCTGTCCTCAGTGAGTGTATAAAGATCCAGCCGTCAGACATCCAGCCGGACGTCTTCTCTTACCTCCTTCACGTCATGTACACGGGGATGAGTCCCAAACAGCCCGTGGACCAGACTCGGCTCCAGGAGGGCATCCGCTTCCTGCACGCGTACCAGCTGTGCGCCCGCCGCCCGCACGAGCCCGCCGACGCCAACGACCCCAACGACCCCGCCGACCCCGCCCCCAACGACCCCGCCCGCCCAAAACCACACCCCCACCCCACGCCACCGCCGCCAACGAGGACCTGAGGCAGTCCAACCTGTACGGCATCCAGATCTCCTCCCAGATCAGCGGCGCCAAGGAGGTGAGGGGCGGGGCCGGGGGGAGGGGGCGGGGACAGGGGGAGGGGACGGGGACAGGGGGCGGGGACAGGGGAGGGGGCGGGACAGGGGGTGTGACTTGTGTGTGTGTGATGTGTGTGTGACCTGTGACCTATGTGTGACCTGGTGTGTGTGACCTGGTGTGTGACCTGGTGTGTGACCAGGTGTGTGACCTGGTGTGTGACCAGGTGTGTGACCAGTGTGTGACCTGAGTGTGTGACCTGTGACCTGGTGTGCGTGACCTGGAGTGTGACCTGGTGTGTGACCAGGTGTGTGACCAGTGTGTGACCTGAGTGTGTGACCTGTGACCTGGTGTGCGTGACCTGGAGTGTGACCTGGTGTGTGACCTGGTGTGTGTGACCTGATGCGTCGCCGTGGTAACAGTGTGGTCCTCCTGCAGGTGTGCGCGTCGTCCTCGGTCTCCAGGGGGCGCCCTCCGTCGGGCGGCGGGGGGCCCCTGTCTCTGTGCGCGGAGGAGGAGCGGCCCCTGTGCTCCGTGGCGTCGGGAGTCGAACCCTCGACCCGGATCAAAGAGGAACCGGACGACGAGCTGGACCCGGGCTGCCTGCAGGAGGCGCTGCGCCAGAGCCAGGCCTTAGCCAATCAGCTCGCAGCTCAGCTCCGCCGCAGCCGCGAGGGGGAGGGGCTCTGCCACGCGCCCGGTAAGAACCAAGACCTGGACTACAGCTGGATCTGAACCGGACTACAGCCGGATCTGAACCGGACTACAGCCGGATCTGAACCGGACTACAGGTGTTGTGACAGGTGTTGTGACAGGTGTTGTGACAGGTGTTATGGCAGGTGTTGTGACAGGTGTTGTGACAGGTGTTATGGCAGGTGTTGTGGCAGGTGTTGTGACAGGTGTTGTGACAGGTGTTATGACAGGTGTTGTGACAGGTGTTATGGCAGGTGTTATGGCAGGTGTTGTGACAGGTGTTATGACAGGTGTTATGACAGGTGTTATGATAGTTGTTCTGGCAGGTGTTATGACAGGTGTTATGACAGGTGTGACAGGTGTTATGATAGTTGTTCTGGCAGGTGTTATGACAGGTGTTTTGACTCTGGACTCTGTGTTAAATCGAAGCGTGTGATTGGCTGTTACCTGTCGGCTCCTCCCACAGACAGTGAGGAGCGTCTAAGCCCCGCCCCCTCCATGAGGAAGAGGAAGATCGCGTGCGCCGTGTGCAGTCTGCGCTTCCCCCACAAGAGCGCGCTGCAGGAGCACATGTACGTGCACACGGGAAAGCCCCGCCTCCACCCGCGCTACGGCCGCTGCACCGGCCCCGCCCACCCCGACCCCGCCCACATGGACTCAGGGGGCGGGGCCTCCAACGGCAGCTCGTACTCGCTGGACTCTGAGGCGTCACAGGAGAGCGCTGTGGAGGGCGCCGTGTGAGCGCCTCCTGGGGGGCGGAGTCACCCCCCGGGGGCGGAGTCACCCCTGAAGGGGCGGAGTCACCCTCTGGAAGACCCCCTGGGGGGTGGAGTCACCCTCTTTGTCAGTTTATTTCAATTGTTTTAAAGGAACATTAGAGGAACATTAGAGGAACATTAGAGGAACATTGGAGGAACATTAGAGGAACATTGTGGACAGATGTTCTCACATTGAGCTCCTCACGGCTCCAGACTTCAGGTCAGGTCACAGACGTTTTTGTGTGGACAGATTCTCCCACAGAGAAATGCGTTTTGGGATTTGAACCTGTTGGTGTTCTTCAGGGCGTCGGCTCCTAAACTGATCTTTGTCAGACTGAACGTTGTCGCTCTGAGGTGATCTGAGCCATTCTAGCAGCTCTCGCTCTGATTGGTCCAGACGCTCCTCGTCGCTCGTTACATCACACGGTGGGAGGAGCTCACCTGGATTGAGGAAGTAAATGTGGAAAAAGAGAAAATTATTTTTGGGCCCATGAGCCGAAGACAAAAACCCGACGCCATTTTGTGTTCAGCAAAGATCTGAGGAAAGTTCTGTGACTTTATTAAACTCAAACCC